CCTGGTGGCTGGTATAAATACCCAAATTGGACGACTAAGTCCGGAAGAAATACAACCAGGTGGTAGATTTGGAGTCGATGATCCTGATACGGATGATGGGAGCGACTACTTCAGTGCGGATCGTCGTCTGTTCCTAGCCAGCATAAACTTCCAACACAAGTGCTCACACTGAGCTCCTGGAGAATCATCAATCGCAGGACAGCCATGGTCTCATTTGGACCATGTGGCTATCACTTACCGATGGAGAGTCTCAAGGATTGTCGTTAGTTCTGGGTTACTCAACTTGACTCTGTTCTTGCCATTGTGCGAGCCTGGTTGTCACTTCGCTTTCCATCAGCGTCACGCATGCCAAAGCAGAACAGTTCCATTAATCAACTCCGACAATTTTCAGCAGCTCAAGAGTATTGAGCTGATCTGGCTAGAAAGCTACTCGAAACGTACAGGATGCCGTAAACACAGGGTGACGAAGATTCTTTAAAGGTTGAATGGAAGCGGCTTGAAGAAGCTATGTTCTAAGCTTTTAGAACTGTTTGTGCCAGTCATATGGCTCGACTAAATGAACACTTGGTATCGTTCAGATCAGCAGACCTTATTGCTGCCAGAAAGGCTATACCAACAACTAGCGACTGTGATGGCGCACGCAGATCCCTCAAACACTGGATAATCAGGAGCTTGAAGAATGACAGACGATGGAGATGGCTTTCGCTTCGGGCAGCAGCCATGCCTTATCTCGGCTGGTTCGACCGCCCAGTCAAAAGAAGACAGATGTCAGTGAAACAATAGTGGAAAAAGACGGAATGGCCCTTCACCTCCTCAATCGTCGTCTTTAGTGGTGAGCTGAGCACTTGAAAGAACATTTCAGCTGGTTTCCTTCAACACAGCCGCTGTAAAAATCCAGCGTGCTTGAATGGAATATCGACACCACCCCGCCATCAACAACAGAAATTCAACATGAGGTATCACTCCTCAAGCGCGACAAGGCACCTGGCGCGGATTGTTTGTACGCCGCACTCTTCAAAAAAGGCGGTGAGGTTTTGATGAAGTGTGACAATCATGCTGTAGAATATTTGGGAGGAAACAGGATACCAGTCGAATGGAGCTCCTCGATCGTCATCCCAGTTTTCAAAAATGACACAAGTCATGCGAAAATCCTCGTGGTTCCTACTTTTACATCCATTATTTGGTGCGGTTTTATTTTCTGTGGCACGACAGATATCTCAGATCCCTATAAAGATTTCCCTACCGATCTTCCGAACGCTTAAGGTCGAGTAGCTTCCTGAATCCTGCAGTTTTCATATTTTTTCGGTTCACAGTGAACTTACAGCCTCCATCTTAACTGAACTTCACATTGTAATTGCTTACATCATATCGTTCAACTCTCGGTGCCCAGCTGCCAGGTTGTCCAAGCCTAGACAGGAGCAGCAGGGATGCTGAGGTTAGGTTCGAACCTCGGACTTACCGGTCGGTAGGTTGTCGTCTTAACCACTGAGCTATCTCAAGTCAATAAAAACAAGTCAAACACTATTGTAACTCGCTTTTATCGAAAGCGCCAATTTACCGAATTCAACTAACGTGAAAGAACGAGAACTCGAATTGACATTCTACCAACATGTGAATCGACTGGGTTCCTGCTCAGAAAGGTTTAAGTAAAACGAAACTCTGAGACGAAATTTTCTGCGTGGCAATCATCTATTGTGGCTACGCGCTCGCACGGTTTATTCCAACTTGGTCTACACTTAATCGGTCTAAGCATGATTAATATTCACTCCGTTGATCTATCTTCATCGATTTTTTTCCGAGACCACGTTGCGCTAGCCTGCTAGTAACATGAATTTATTCGTCCAGAGTTTTTGGGGGTGGAGCAAATGCTGAATACCAATGAGTGAAGCATGTCTGGTATGCTGAAACTCTGTGTCTCTCATAGATGGATATTTTGCTCTGTAGGACAGGGTTTACTCACTTTTATCCGGAATAGCAGGATATCTATAACTCGTGGAAATTTCAAAGACGAAGCGGTAAAGAATCGACAATGTGCTCACCTTGTCTGCTGTCCTTATATAGAACTGCCTTACCGTGAAATTTCACCTATACGTTTTCAAGAAGCACAACTAGCCGTTTTAAGTTTTTGCTCAATTTTAATCCCTGGGGATAATTTTGGTCAAACTGCTTATGATATGAGCTTCATTCAGCGTGACTGTTCCGAGCTTCACAGTGGTGAGGAACAGACAGTGGACAATATCTACTTGGCTTGCCATGATTTCCCTGACATTCTCAGTAGACTCAGTAAGACTCTGAACCCTGAGATTTTACCTACTACGAATCATCAACGTGATAGGTAGACTGGCAGTGTGCCTATTCGTTTGTTGAAAGTCAGCTGCGCTGGGTTTCATCTACCAGCTAATTTTACGCCGCGAGCATAATTCTTTGTTTTTCTGTATAAGACATCACTTTCGACACCAAGCTCTAAATCTTCCGTTTTTTCTCCAAAATTCTCCACAAAATTATTGAAGCCAGTTTTGAGCATTTCAGTTCATTTGAGTTCCGTGTCTTGCTGGATCTGTTCTTGCCTTCAGAGCTTCAGCTGCAGTGATCCACACGGGACCAGATGAGCTGTCCTTGTTTTGTCTTGTATGTGTATGATGAATATGGGTTGGAAGCGAAAAGCAACACTTAAATTGGTGTTAGTTAAAAAGTGAACTAAATTTTGCTGTACTAGGGAGGTGTTCGAATTTCTAAAGGGTGGTTACCCCATTGCTCGCTACTAACATGGACTGCTATACAGCTGTACTGGAGAAGGCCTCAATACAGAGGGGCCTTTTAGCCAGCATTGTATAGCCATGTGGACCTCGCCCACAATCTGACGTTCAGTAGTTAGATTGTCCACACGTTCATTTTGTTTCCCTTCTTTCGATTTTGATGTGCCCACCTCGAGAAAGACGAAGCAATCGAGAAAAACGGAACCACTTAATCGGGATTTCATGCGTTGCGCATATGTTGAGTGAAACGCTATCAAAGCCATACCGGTTCTTTTGAATGTCTCGGCTTTTTTCCAAGTAGGTTCCTTAAATTTTAAACACGGGTCCTATATCCTGTTTTCCGATTAGGAACAATAAGTACGCGATGTGATGCCTAGCGCGCTCTTGGATGTACCTAGTTTGAAGTTTGCCAAACCCTGCCACTTCATGATTGATGTTCAGCTAGGGAATAGCAAATGCCACGAAGGATAGGTCAACCATGCATATAGTGTGGTCTTACCCGAATAATTCATTCGGTCTCGCTCAAGACTGTCGTGTACGAGCTCTAGCGAAGGTGACCCTCGGCCCACTCAAGCACCAAGTATGGGGTCAACTCTTCCCAGTAAGAAAGCCGAAGGTGAAGCCCCATGTTTCACTCCCAATCTGAGCACTTCATATTTAAAGGAAACTGGGATATTCCGGAAAAAAACTAGCCTGCTTTAATGGTGTTTCGTTCCAATGGTGGGAGGCGGTGATCCGAAACTCGGGCATGGGTCATTGGCAAGAGTACATTAAAACAGCTGTCTATAAGGCAGTTCTACATCGGCCCTGCAAGAATGAGCTTTTTTATCTCGATAGTTCTTCCACATTTCATTGACCCAAACTATCCATCTCCTCCGATTGTATATAGAGCTACCCCTTCCTAGCCGATCCGTTATAACTGACGGGGTGACTGGCCGCATGATAAAGGTTTGTCTTTCTACAGAACGGCTATTTGTTCGTTGGACAAGTTCGCCTGTCTTTCTCTCAATTTAAGCCGTATGTGATCATTCTGAAAAACAATCTAATGGTCGAATTGGGTTCTCCACCGATTTCACCATCTTGAACTTGTTCAGTTGGATTCTCTATCGAATCATCTTTCGGGCTCCCGTGTCAGCCAACAAACCACCCATCGATTGTGGGCTGCTTGACTTATCGATTACTTACATCAGGCGATCAGGCATGTTGGTTGCGATTTACGCGCGTATGGACACGTGTAATTGTGTGCTTGTGTGCGTGCGTGTGTGTTAGTACGTGCGCACGGTGAAAACAACCATTCCTTCCTTGTTGCAAATATGCTTGTAAGACAACCTCATTGATTAGACACGATAGCCTATTGCTGTTACTGCGTTAACTAACAGGAGCTTTCATTCCCCGGGCACGTGCCTCTCGCGGCACTAATTTCGTATGTTTCACTCGATTGTGTGTGTGTGGGGGGGGAGAGAGGGGAATGTGGATCCTTATGGATAGCAAGCTGCTTCTGTGTATACGTATGTGGAATGCGAACCTGACTCCGTTATCGTTAAACTTCGCACTAAACGATTAGGTGATTTACAATTTTTCTGACGTTTTGGAGCTAGTAAAAAACTACCAGTTCTGTCCTTTAGTTTGTGAAATCAAGTGGAGTTTGCACCTCATTATACGATCAATAATACACTGGGTTCGCTTTGTTTTTCCCCTCACATCAATTTGATACAACGACAACTACTAATAATAAATAGTAGTGGCCACGATAGTTTGTGTAATTAGTTTACAAAGGTTCAGGTAAGGTATATCATATAAGTTAGCAAGCTGATTGTTAGGGTGTGCGAATGGATCAGCAGTCACTTCACCGAACCATCAAAATTCCAGCGTATTGTCAACATACGTAAATACTAATTCAGTTGAACCTGTCAAGTGGTGAATCCAAGTGTTACCATGCAGGACGTACAGCCTCGCCACAATGTATGTTCCGAGCACTCAGTTACCACCCTTAGCCACAGTCTATATTTCCGGTCTCGTCTTGAGGTCCTGCACCCACCTTTCTTTACACATGAATGTCTGTTGAATCCGATCCATGTGACTCCTATCAAAATAGATCTGATTCAAATTTTAGTTGTTTTTCATCATTTTTCCTTGTTCATTCCTACGGGACATTCTGATCTTACTATGCACCATAGGGATTGTTTCACGCATTATCGCTACTCCTAAATTCTATTCTTCCCTTTCAATTTTATCGTTTCGCAGCACGGACAGTCGTGACAACATTGTGGAAAAGTGGTATTCCGAAGTGAAGCATTTTTGCCCCAATGTACCCATTATTCTTGTCGGCAACAAGAAAGATTTGCGTAATGATGAACGAGCCCGCCACGAGTTGGCCAAGATGCGTCAAGAAATGGTGAAACCAGAAGAAGGTAGAATGTTAGCTGAACAGATAAGTAAGTCGGTCGCCTGGGTCTATCGAAGTGTATTTCATTGTTGTCTGTGGGTCTGCGCACATTTTTTGGTTGCATTTCTGGTAGCGTTGCTTACATTCAGGCGAAGAACTGCATTTATCAGGGAGATTCGTGAATCGACATCCATCCAACGGCTGTCAAACTATGAAACCCGCACTTGCGCGAAATAGCCACGGATGTCTCTTTGAGTGAACACAGTCCTCCTCTTTTTCAATCATTTGTAGTCTTTTTTTAGGTATACTGTCGTTCTTCTGGCTTGTCATCCAGCGATGATACCTACTTTCGCGACGCCGACAGTACTGCGTCAGCTAAGAAGCAGAAACTGCTGCTGTGGGTCTGTCCATTCATTCGTCATTCTTAGTCATCGTAAAGGTGACAGTATGACTCCATTTAATGGGGGAAACATGCCAAGCTGTTCACAAGTGACTGCTCTGACTACGCCGCATCAGAGCAGTTGTATCACATTGTCCGAGTATACTGTGTGTTAAAGTTCAGTTTATACACCTATGGGCATAGTTTAGGTTGTACCATTGGATGCAGGTCCTCGAGACTTCAGCGGAATTATATCAAGTATTGATGCATCGGTATGGCACTTGCTAGATCCGAGTGGAAGCATACGTTTCGTAACCTTGTTTTGAAACTACATCTCTAGACGCGGGCGTTGACATAAGTTATTGCGGTCATCGGTAGGACGGGAACGCTGTTCTGAATCAGGCGTTCATGTGCTGAAGAAGCAGTGGGGGCATAATTGTAGCTTCATACCAGACAGGCCCTTGAAGAGGAGCATTTCTTTGATGAGGTTATAGACTCTGGTTAATACACAAAACTTGCGGTCGTAGTATTTTCGTTCTGAAAATTTTCATTCATCTATCTTGTTTGGGCCATCATAGTTACAGTTTTCGCCTCAATGCTGAAGACGGTCGGAATATCACACTTTCGCATCACTGTCTTTGTGTAGTCCTCGTTTTGCAGTTATGGTTTCGTCCTTTTGATGTATTTGTCAGTTTTTTTGGGAAAACCTATTATAGGAATTCTCTCTTTGGTTCCCAGCTTGCCTCCTGCAGGTAAGTTTAGAGCGCATGGCAAGTGTCCGTACATAGTTACTACCGCGACATTGCAAGGTTATTTTAACAACTGACGCCATTGAATACTCCTTTAGGCTGCCACTTTTGGGCTGAAGAATCCCGACGTTGAGGGTCGGAACTTCAAGATTCTGTTGCGTTCATGGCCTTCATATCGACTTATCCTACCTTGGGGGAACTAAGTCCTTTACATTAGCAAATACATTCTTTGTCGTGACTGAGTTTATACCGTTGTTCCATTCTTATGTTCAAACCCAGGAATTTTCCAAGTAATGTGTGCTGTAAAAGCAGTTAGATCAATTGCCGTTCTTATACGAAACGGCGCCATGAATCTTGGAATACGAGTTTCAAAAAAGTGCCCATTTGTTTATAGTCGTGGTATGAATGATTTGTTTGATTAGTTGCTGAAAAACATTGATGCAAAGCGGGTTTCTGGGGTCGAGCTATCGATGTTCGGTATTACAGTTTTAGTGGTAGGATCTGATAGTAATGTCTTATTTCTTCAGGCATTGTGGCTATTTCATGGAAGTCCATCTAGTGCCTGTCAAAACAGCGTGGGTCTGGATGATTCTACAAACTCTTTCTCAGTGTCTCAGATTTCTTGGATAACTTCAATATAACATACGGAATTTATGCAACTGCATGCAACGGTCAGCTGATGAAAATTTGGAGGTCGCGAAATGAAGGATGAGTGGGTTGGTGCTAGGTGATACGGTGTTATGACATCTCCCGGTTCCATAGTATATCAGGCAACCAGGCGCCTAGGTCATCATACTTCGACCTGTTGGTGAGGACCATAAACGGACTCTTTTGACTAAACTTATATGAGGCTGTTTTGGTGCTTTTTCTTAGCGGATCCGATAGTTGAATAGCCCGTTTCTGCGGGACATCGACGATCCCGAGTTGTTGTTTGCACCGGGCCGTTTGTAGTTTACTTCAGCCAGGCTGAGTGTAGAAGAAATTTCAGCTAGTTATTACATTCCATGATGTCCTTAAAATGATGCCTTGGTCAAGGTTATCCTCCGGTATGAAGTGCACACTCGTAGCGCGAAAATCTTACGTTTACGTTTTTGACTACGGTTGTGCATATTTGTTTTCTCCTACAGGTGCCTATGCTTATTTGGAATGCTCAGCGAAAACCAAGGAAGGTGTTCGAGAGGTTTTTGAAACTGCCACCCGGGCTGCTCTTTCAACCAAACGCAAAGGAAAGAAAGTCTGTGACTTATTGTAGGTTCCTATATACTCATTTCCATGGTCCCCCTCCCCGCTACTTTGCGTGGAGACATTCACTTCAAACTTGTTTGTATCGCTTCTCTATGGCAGTCGGATAAACAGACGGAGATATACACACCTGTAAACCCCGTCGGTGGTAAAAGCTCACACATTCGATTTGATTTTTCCACACTGTCTTTTTCTCCCCTTCCCTGTGATGGGCTTCGATGGCCCACCAGTCACGTGTTTTTTCCAATTTTTCCCCATCTCGGGGATCCATCATGTTACTATATCCACAGGACTTTTCCGGTCTCCATTGGATAATTTTACCTGCAGTTGCTGTGACCTACGACAGACGTTCCACGACTATCAATTGCAATGCTTGTGGTCCTGCATCCCTGTGCGTAAATTTACCGTATTTTTTCGTTTGATCCTTTCTTATTGCCACCTAATCTTTCTCCATCTATCTGCCTGTCCATCCGTGCATTCACTGTTCAAACACAACCCTTGTGGGCCTCATCGGGATTATTATGAGGCGTTGCGATGCTGACGCTGCTTTTAGCTTCCTGTATCGTTGGCATTTCTGTCTAGAGTATATCACCTGGTGTGTGTATTTACCGGTCTGTTTGGTGTTTGCCGCGATTCACTGCCATCTCCGTTGTTTTTCGTTCGCTTCTATCTCCGTCTTAGCATTCCGAATCGAGCAGATCGACCTTGGTTTCGCAAAACTGCACAGGCCCCCTCGTACTTTTTTCTTGAGTAGGATAAACACCGTTTGCCAACAGATGGGCATGGGCCTTTCACCCTTAGAGTGCACATGTTGGGTTGCACTAAGCTGCGAACGTCGTTTAGTCTGATTTCGTACCGACTTATGCTCTCTAATACGGGTGGGAAGTTTAGCACACACTATACGCATCGATCGTTCTAATGCAGGTTATGCTATTTTGCGTCCTTTCGCCTAACTGAACTTCTCCATTTGGTTGTACCGGGACTTCTACTCACCTCTATTTCTGTGGAATTGAGTCGATAGAGCTCAAATGTCAAACACCCGTCATCTTGAACTTTGCCTTTTTAAGCTGGGAGATAACTCAGTGGATAGAGCGCGAATCTACTGACTGGAAGGTCCGTGTTCCGAACGCGACATGCACCTCGACTTCCCCTGTCTAGGCTTGGACAACCTGGCAGTATCCCAGCCCTTGTGCCTCCTTTCGTTGGCATGGCAGCTAGGAACCGAAAGGGTGTTAAGGCTGAACCACGGTCTTATGCTGTCAGGTTACCTTTCAAGTGCACTCGTTCACTGAAACCTACGTAGCCATCGACCTGCTGTCTGTTACGGACGTAGCTAGTGCTCTCAATTTTCATCGTACCATCTTGGTAGTAGGTCAAACGTTTGGACACCGGATGGATTTATGCGGCTTTCTCGCTTGATAGTGTGAGTGAGGTTATTTTACTCCACACGTTATCAGTTTAGTGTCTGGCCATGATGTTACCGGAGGTGCTGTAATGCAGTTAGGTGGCCGGAGAAGGCGTACTGTAAGGTGGGTTGGGACGATCGATCGAGGCATATGATGGACGCACTACGTGGTGTTTCATGCTTTGTAAATTAATTTCAAGTTGCGGGACTTGAGTGAGGTATTCAAATAAAATGAATGACCGGACACATGTCAAAATCTCCGTGTGAACGCACAGCTCACTTATGTGAGCATCACTGTGGTGAGCGGCCCGTGCGCATTTAGTTGTGGGTGGTTGCAGGATTTACAGAATGCACACTCACATGACTCTCGTTTGAACAATCGTCCTCCTGTGCTGATGCAATCACTCTGGTGAGTCTTCACCAAAGGGGGAAGCAAGTTTCAAGCGTCTGTGGCGGGCCAGTCGATCGACACAACCAAGGTATGTTACTGGGTCGTCGTTCGAGGTGTCGGGTTTTCCGCTCACATCACTCAAGCGCGAATCTGTTCACCTGTTCGGATGCGTCCAGACTAGTGGTAACACTCGCCTCGCATATCGGATGTACGGGATTCACATCCCAGCACGACCAAGACTGATGAGCTCTAATAAGAGCAAAAGTCAAGCCCAGTTCTTCCCCACTTTGGTGTTAGCTCACCAGAGTGAATAGTATAATTGTCTAGCCAAGTCGAACACTTACATTATGCTGGAGTCCAATCGATTTCAAGGAGGTTCTGGGTTGCTTTCGCTTGCAAGTGGCATTCAGCCAACCGATTTATCTAGTACTCCTCCAGCTACATCCTTGGGAAACAATCTGGTTGTGGTAACGAACACTTTCCTCTTCACGGAGGGTTGGTCTAGGGATGTTGCATTTGTTGTATGTTAACAACCGGTCTTATTTTGGTGCGTCCCTACTGTTCGTGTGATAGTACCGGTGTAGCGGTGATACTACTGATCGGGAGGCACGCGAGTAGTATGTGTTGTTCGAAGGCCTTCTTCCTTTCACCGGTACACATTTCGCTTCTAGGAGGCTGCAGGGAATCCACCAAGCTAATCAGTTGCTGTATGACTGGGAGACATGGTCTATGTAGTCGACAGTTTGATGACATCTGCATGTGGCTACCGATGTCTCAGAGCTGCAACTAGCCTTAGATTAACTCGTGCTGAGTTTTCCACAATAAACTGTTTGTAAAGCAGTAGGCCTTGAGAAAGCCGAGATAATTCAATGGTCAAGGGGTGAACTCACTGATCGGCAAGTCCCGGTATCTCGACTGTTCTTGCTCAAGTTTGACAATGTCTCAGCCCTCTTGCTTCAAAAGGGTGGTATGGCAGCTAGCAACAAATCGGTTTCACAAATCGACGATTTGTTTTTATCATTATTCATTAGGAGGCTGAGAGTTGGCGTAGATTTTGCTGTCAGTAGGGATAATGCTACTTAGTGAACGCTTATCGACCTACGTCCTCATGCCTTTCTTGGTAGGACTTAGTTAATAACTGCGTAAATCCTATACCTTACTGTAATGACCTCGGACAAAAACCGACGGGCAGGTAATCTCTCCGTTCTGTTTGGTACGTAGCCGAGTCCCAAGGTGGAACGGGGAGTTCCCTGTCATCGACCAAGAAATTTTGGGCGATTGCGGTGGGATAACATGTCACACATACATCTTCAGTAAAGCTGATCTATACTGAAGTTCTATGAGCACTGTACAGTTGTTTCAACCTCGGTGGGAACTATCAGCGGTGTCAGAAACTCGAGCGAGTTTCGAACACGCAATCTCCTGGCGGGTAGTTATAACACTTATCCATCCAGCCACGAAGGGGCGCTCAGCAGTGTGGCCATCTTGCACTATGACAGGACAGAGCGTCATTCACGGAATCCACATTACCTAGTCACGTGCTGACTGGTTCCTCGAGCGACGATCTCTCAGTTGGAAGGTTCACCGGTCGTGTGAATTATTCTTTCCCAATTCTGCTCACACTACCAACAACCTATAAGTAGTCATTTGGCGAAAGATAAATTACCACATAGGTTTCACGGCTGAAAAAAGCATAGTAAGATGTTGAAGATAAACAGCCGTAAATAAGGGGCACCTTAATCTACCTGAGCAATCGCCAGGCATTCTGTTTTCTGGAGCGCATCCGGTAGGAGGATGGGGAGTATCACAACTGTATAACAGTCTTCGGTGGAATTCAGTCGCCTGAAGCTAAACCACCATAAGATGCATGTGTTCTCGATAAGTTTTTTTCATAGGAGGAAACTACGTGTTTTGCCAAGGAGGTGAAAGTTGACGTCTGGTTCAGTATAGCTTTGCGCTTGCTTCGACTCCGCTGTCTTCAGGCATTCCACTTCACAATCACAACACCAGGATTGAACGCTCATAGACTCGTTGAACACTTCTTCAATAGGACTGGGAAATCACTGCAGGTGAAAAGGTGAGTAATTATGTTAATTCCTTGGAGTTAGACGCGGGAGTTACTTTCGTATTAAGAAGTTTGGAAGTACGCCCACATCTCGCACTGTGAGCCCTTAGCTGTAGCTACGACAACTAATGCTTCCCAGTGGTGTGAAGTAATAAAGCTGATTCTGAATAAGCGTCGCAAATTAGCTCTACTCTAAATTGAATAATTAGGGTAGTCATCATCTGTGACAGCATCAGAGATGCAGAATGCCGGCGCTCTGTAGGTTTTCCAAGCCTAACCCAATGTATAGCACTCCTGTGAACGAGCACTACTCTCCGGGAATTTTCGTTCATTCGCTTGCTCCCAACTGATCATATTGAAGTTATTTCGTTCAAATGATTCCCCTCTAACCGGACTCATATTTGAATCTTCCCTCTGACACGTTGATTATTCACACCTTTTCATTGAGCAACTTCCTAACGCCTTCATTCGATCGACCGCATCTCAAGCATTCGAAATACCCGCGTATGATTAATGACAGTTGACCAGGTGATTGTTAACTTGCTCGCCGATCTTGGCGACTGGCTTGCATATGTTTCATCACCAATCTAAGAGGCATCAGTGCATCGTCAGGTGGGTTTACATATTTTTCAAAGATTACGTCGTATCTATCGACGTGATTGATTAACTAGAAAGCGCCTTCCTCTTAACTCCACCCTTTCGATTTATGTTGCGTTGTGGTCTGCCTTCGAATTTGATTGGCTTTTATTAGTAGTTTGATTTGATTGGTACGCTCTCAATTTGCATTGTGTTGCGCCTGATTTTCTCGCAGTAATTTCGCTGATCGGATTTCTCAATCTGATTTAGTTATTCTTCTTGTGCTGGGGGATTTAATCGCATTCGAATGGTTATTCAGATATCTTATTTTGCTAAAGCACTTCATTCTTTGTTAAATTTGGTTCTTTGGCTTGGTTTTTCCTTCGGAGTTGGATCCCAACTGGCTTTTTTACTATGCTCAATAGGATATCAAGCCTATACACCTGGGCGACTGGGTGTGTGTATACGCTGCAGGCACCGAGTGTGGAATGCACAATCTCGTCCATGCTACTTATCGACTTTTGGTGACGTAATATACTCGGACGAATATGGACAAGGATACTTTAAACGTGCGAGGTTTACTGTCTAGCAGTGGTGATAACAGTAACTACGTAGTTGAGTACTATGAAATGCCGCTTTTCAGACCTGAGGGATCTTTAATGCACGCGGAGTTGTAGACTTAGTACAGCTGTGACGCTGGAAGTTTACAGCAATGAGCTGTTTTCTAGCAGAATATCTAGCTATGTGAGTATCCACTCGGCAGAAGGTGTCGATATATCTAGGTAAGGTCTTAAGTGTCATTTACCTGCTGAGATTTTCCTACTACCGAGGTTCCTACTGGATGTTTGGAAATGTTAATTCCTCCAGGAGCGGATTGGAGTAGTTAACCCCTTCACTGGGATCGTCCACCTATGCGAACTGATAGGGGACGCTGTCGTGAGCTTCTTTCTGGGGGAGGGGTTATAGTACTGGGGCACATAATTAGTAAGGCCGGGTTATCCATAACCTAATTTATTGCAGTTTCTCCCCAATGATTGTGCATTTCAAGAATTTGTTGCCGACATGACCAATACCCCTGCCAATCTGTTTCACCGTTGTTTTTTCCGGGGGCATTAGCTGAATCGTTTCGGTGCCACGGTCTGTACCTTTAACTAGATTCGCGACCGATCGATAAGCGGTTTGCCTCGTACTCATTCCGCGCATTTTTTATCTGGAGAATTGCGACCACAATCGAATCGTACTACGTTTGACAGCAGAATACGGACACATTCCTACTGCCTCCTCCTCTTTGTCCACCGACAGCTTTTAC